TGCATATTTTCGGGGGTGGTAGATCTCGATTAAAGATTTTCTCTTTACCGTTTTCAAATAAGTCCAAAATAAACGAGTTATTTAAGAAATAAAAAATTAAAAAAATGGTTTTAATTTTTGAAAATTTTATGACAATACCGAATTTTTTTCTGTTGTTCCTCTAATTTTAATCTACTGATGGTTTGCGACGGTTTTAAGATATATTACACTACTCAAAGGCGCGTTTCTTGTTTAATGGTGTCTGCCAGTAGCACTTTTATCGCACACAATAAATAGAAAAAAGTTTACTTTCTGATGATTTAAATAGGATATAATGCAATTAAGTTATTATTTATTATATTCTTACTGTGCAAAGTATCTTTTCACTGCTTTATCTTTCCACAACACAGAGAATAGAAATCTTCTCATTTTTTAAGCACTCTGAAACGTACGCACTTATTGAAAATAACTATAATAATGGCGTAACTAGTATTTCTGCACTTTACAATACAATTTATGGGTGTTTTGTTAACATCTTTTTTTGAATTTTTACCCCTTTTCTCTTGGCAATTTTTAATTGTTTGTGGCATTTTCTCGCAAACGATTAGAAATATCACTATTATTCATGTAGTCAGTGACAATGTTGCATGACTTCTAGTGCACCGTAACCATGGCAATATCATAGAATAAAAAAATTACACGGTGAAAATTTACGATAAACAAACAAAGTTCTAAAGTTTTCTAAAATACACAGAAAAATTTAAAAACAACGAACGATTTTAAACATCTTTTTGTGAAAACCCCAGAAAATATTTGCACTTATATCTCACATTCTAATTGTTGATACCGGCAGACTGCAAAAATACTGTCAAGTACCACTTTTCTTTAACGTCTTTATGTTTCAAGGACTAATCTGTCTGATCCTACTCATTTTACGCCGATTTTGAACCACGAATCTGAGTCTTAATATGTATGATATCAAAGCTGTGAAGCAGAGTGGCTAAGTGCTTTCTTACTCCAGCCCAGACTGGAGATCCAACTCCATCAGGCTGTAATCAAAGTGTTGTCAAATGGGTTGTAAAAATTTAATTATATTATTCTTGTCTTCATTAGCATATTAATTTAAAACTCTATTCTATGTAAAATTTAAAAATCAATAAGTTTGTGTAAACACATTAATAAATATACAGGGTTTTATTTTCAGCCCCTTACAATAGAATTAGCATTTCGTTTTTACTATAATTAATCCTTTTTTCAGAACCAGTTTCCAATAAGTTTTACTTTAAATTCAAGATATTGACATTCATTTCCATGAGAAAAAAAAGAAAAAAAGAAAGTAAATACATCTGTATATTTTATGTAGTTAGATATTAATGAAAGTAACACCCTTGATTAAGGGTTAACACCAAAACATCTAAAAGGCTGAGCGCTCTTTTCGCATTAGATGTAAGCAGTTGTTCACTTACAACCATTTAATTTTAATTATATTTTTAAATGTTCTATAATTTAGAAATATCTGTAATTACCTGTGGTAAAAATATTATACTTGGACGATAATTAGAACTTAACAATTCTAAAGAATTTAATACCGCAAGAAAAAAACTTAAAAAATTATCCTAAAGCTTCTAGATAAGATGGATAATATATTTAAGATGGATTTAGCAAATGGATAAAAAATAGAATAATTTAATATATAATAAGTTTTGGAGCCTCAAGATGCTGTTCTATTTTACTTGACAGGAAATTTGGTGATCTCTTACTATATCCGAGAAAATTAAGTATCTAGAAGGTGCATGACATTCTTGATAAAAGTTGTTGAATGAATATTGACAGTTGATAGACACATTGACACGTCTTTTTTAGTTTATATACAATGACATAACAATAATTATTCAAAATTAATGAGATTTCTAATAATATTAATTTAATGTCATATAAGCACAAAACGAATAAAAACTTAAGCTTAACAGGGGAAAAGCTAGTTAAAATTACACAATATAAAGTATTTTAAATTTGAATACTGTATATCGAAAATTAAATTGAATAAGAGAAAAATATATTACAGTTTCCTTTCTAAAACTAATTAAAATAACCAACAACAATATTTTACAGCACCTAAGAAACACCCAGTAATATACTGTCATACGTAATTTATTTTGGGAAACCAAACCATGGTTTTCTGGAGAGTTAGGCAACCTAAAGGGTATTTGTGGGCTAATGTTGGTCATGAAACTTCGTAGTTGATGAAGAAAAAAGCTGACTAATAATTGCTTAACCTACATCATATTTTTTGGAGCAATTTGGAGCATTTTGTATTAGCTTACATAAAATGTGATTTTAAGATTAAACAGTTCTTAATTACATCAAGGTCTTTATTGATTTTTTATGGGTACCAGGAAGTTAAAACTAGAATTACCATGAGGAAAAACAGTTCAAACATTGTACTTTCTCAGAGTACCATCAGTTTTTTAACTTCATTTATCACCAACGTTAAACGCACTAATTTTATTTAATCAAAATTTAATCAAAATATTTTAGCTTCAGCTAATAATTTTATAAGCTCGAACATTTCTTATCAGGGATTAATAATGGGCCCGTTTTCATTCAAAAATCTTCACGATTCTGTAAATATGGTCTGTTAGGAACTATACGAGTGAAATTATAATTAAAAAAAATACTTTTGATATTCTGATTTTCTGCCGCTTTTGGGAACTTTCTGCATCACTGTGCGTTGGTCCGACGGTGCTCTGATTGGTCATAGCGTTTCAACGGACCTGTTCATACGATCACGGACGTTTTAACACTTTTTTGACAAATTTAATCTAACCTTAATAAAAATATAAGGAAAATAGCAAAATCGTTATGGAAACAAAAATATAAAATAGCACCAACGTATATCCGATAAACGGAAGCAAATAAATTTGAAAACTGCGTTATTTTCTAACCAATCAAAGTCTTTAAATTCTACCAATAAAATTAATATCGTATCAACGTATCGTCGGACAACGGATGCGTAAAAATCAAGCTTAAATACGCTGATCTCTGACAGTGGTGAATGCCATACTACTCGTACCTACTTTACCGGGTGCTGTCTCAAAAGTGGCTCATCCCTATAACTTTTTTATATTTTCACATAAGAAAACAGATTTGGTATGTTAGTTAATGACATAAATTAGGATCGATTGACGTATTCAATTGGTTTTGGTCACTTCCTGTTTCACCAGAAATGACTAAAACTTTTGATTTTTAAATGTAACCAATCGATAGAAACGACAGTCTGAATAGAATGATATATCATATTTCAACTTTTGACATTTTCGCATAAGGTTTATTTGAAATTGCAACATGCGATTCATAACGATAATTTGGCACGAAATACAAAGTAAGTGGTACCAAATTATTCCTAAAAAAATGTTTTTTTTTCCAAATATGCTCATTAGTCACCCTTGTTTCATTTGAAAAAATTGGGATGTGATTAAAAAACGACAAGACACAAAAAATATTAGATGATAAAAATCTATTTTTCTACGGCTCCTTATATCATTTACAATTTACATTTACATATTATATAGATACATTTCCTAATAAGTAGGAAACATTTTATTGACTAAATAATAATAATAATTTGACTTTATTTAAGTAGGTGGCGAGGTCTAGCATACGCTACTCAATCTAACCACCTTAAAAAAAATACAAAATACACATACAATACTAATACAACAATATAACAATTTTAATATAATATAAATCTAAATTATATAAACGAACAAAAAAAAAGACATATAAAACACCCATACATGAGCTTAAGGTACAATTCAATAATACTTTTATAAAGTTAAATTGAAATCCACAAGAGATTTCCTGAAACCTGCAATGGACGGACAGCTTTTAATGTACGGAGGAAGTGAATTGTAGCATTTCGAAGCATAATACGAAAACGATTTTTCAAACAAGGCTGTCCGGTGTTTAGGCACAACATAACTGCTGCGTTTTCTGGTATTAAGGTCGTGGAGGTCAGCTGCCTTGACAAGTATGTCAGAACAAATAATGAGGTTCTTGAAATTTTTCTATTTTATAACCTAGTATACACGTATGCATAAAAGCATACTGTTCAAGTCCTAACCAGCCCGATTGTTTATAAAGAGGGGAAACATGATCAAATTAGGAGTATAACTGAATAGATACCTTAAGCAAGAGTTGACAAGTTTTGTTAAGCTTTTGTTTGTCCTTGTTAAGTAGAGCTGGCCAGTAGACAGTGTTGCAGTAGAAGACCAATGGAAGAATTAAGGAAGACTTTTATACAAGGTCAATTTAACATCTCTGTTAAGAAAATCTTTATATAAATATAGTGTCTTTAACTTACAATACAATTTCTGCAAATATATGATACATGCTTTTTCAAATCTCAGTTTAGAATCGAAGAAATAAACCCCAAGATTTTTGTAGTTTTTAGCAGGTGTAATGGTGATATTAGAGTCAAGTACGATATTTAATTTTGAGAAACATCTCAGCGAGTTCTTACCCACAAAAAATTAGTTGAGTCTTATTAGGGTTTAAGAAAAGACCATGATGGTGTGAAATTTCGTAAATTATTCTCAGATCTTCATTTATTTTGCTTTCAGAGGCTTTGAAATCTTTACTCAAGGAACAGTAGACTTGAAAATCATCAGCATAATGATGTGAAGATAAATTTTATAAATAGGTTTTAAAATCTGCCGTATAAATAGAGAACAGAAATGGACCAAGAATACTGCCCTGAGGAACACCACGATCTACAGGCAATAAAGTCGAAGCAGATTTTCTGATAAAAACTCTCTGTTGTCGACCAGCCAAGTAACACGCCATGAGTTTCAGTGAACAGTCACTGAAACCAAAATATTGCAATTTCTCCAAAAGTATCCTATGGTTTAACGTATCAAAGGCCTTTGAGTAGTCCAGGAGAAGTAGGCAACCAGTATCACCTTTGTCACATATTCTGAAAAGAGATCATCACTGACTTTCAGTAAAGCAGTGGCCGTACTATGGCGAGACCTAAAGACGGACTGAGTGAAAGGAAGAATCTTAGAGACATTAACAAAATCCGTTAGTTGTTTATGCATAATTTTTTCTAATACTTTAGATAGGAAAGGTAATATGCTTATTGGTCGATAATCAGATAATCTGGCAGGATTAGAGTTCTTTGCTGTGGGAATAATATTAGCAATTTTCCAGGTAGCTGGAAAATGATTATTTTTAATACAAGTATTAATAATGAAAGTGATGTGACGCAATAAATGAGGAAGTATTAAATCAATCATTCTTTTATCTATCCCGCCACATCCCTTGGCATTAGACTTAATTTCCCTAACTATCCTCAAAATACTTTTCTCATCAACCTCCAAAAAATTAAACAAATTGGAATCATCCAGAAATTTAGAGCTCATATAAGTTTGTAAATAAGTATTAGTGTTATCATCAATGCACAATTTAGGTACAGAATTAATAAAAAACTCATTAAACTCATCGGCAGTACCAGTATCCTCATGATGAGATGGCATACCAGGATGAATATTCAAACGCCGTAGTGTTAGGCGAAAACTCTTTCGGATTGGTCCTTAAACCGATGAACAAGTATGCTTTCTTTTCATTTCTTAGACTCGAAGTTACCAGATTTCTAAGTTGTTTATAATTCTGCCAGGAAGCTTCAGTTTTATGTTTCTTGAACTTAGTAAGGGCTTTATTCCTTAAACGCGTCATAAATTTAATATAAAAAAATTTCATATAATATAAATGTTGAAATATTATATTACGATAGTTATAAAATGCACGAATTTAAGTTCTGAAGATGATATTCGCTTTAAAATAATTAAATTTATTTTTAATACGGTCCTGTATTCGAAACGCTTTTAAGAGTGTTGCTGTTTACTATGTAAAGAAACGAAAAACTTTGTACAAGACGCCTTTTCTTTTTTTTTTCTCTCTCTCTGGAATGTCCGCTTTTCTAAAGCATATTGAAAATATTACATTCATTATTCATGTTTTCATTTTCTTATACCGCTCGATTTTTTCTGCCTTCATTTCTCACTTTTAATAATAAGATTTAATTTTGGTTAGAACTTGATAAAAAATGTCGTTATTGTATTTATTTTGTTAATTAAACAGGAACACTGTAGCGTTTTTTAAACAACTACCACTGCGAATGGCAGCTTTTCATCGGAGAGCAGTCGTGGATAAGGTATTTCACTGGAAAGAAAACTAATTAAGAACAATAAACAAAAAAATAGATATTGGGCGCCAGGCATGTACAGAGAAAGAAAACACAGTTGTATATTACTTAAAACTAATGACTATATTTATTGATGAAGAATTCTGATGGTAAATAGCGGTGTACAATTTTAATAATTATTATAGTGGTTTATTTGTTGGAGTAAAACTATGTATGTAAATAATATTAAATATGTTCTATGAAAAGACTATGAAAAAATACAATGCGTGTAACGTTATAGAAAATATAAGAAAGTAGCATTACTTTATTTAAATTGTTAAATTTATGCGGTGTTAAACTGATATGTTGCAGCCTGGTAGGTTCTAGAATCATGTTATTCATCTGTTAATACTAGCGCAATAATAATATCTATAGAAAGTAATACTATTACAAGGCGTAATATAATGAAACCTAAAAATCTAAATCACATTGTAACTACTGAATCGACATAAATGTTCTTAATAATCCCTAACCACTAAATATAGTCTGTACGATATTATTTAAAATGTGCATTTTCTGTTTAAGACTGAGGAATATAGAAAATCTAAAACATAAAAACTAGAACGTAAATCTACACTTAGCTGTTCTTTATGCAATCTTGCTTCAAACAGTAGCAGGCGTGAGTAGTGGTCTCGCATCTCTGTACTCAGCCATCCACCACAACCAGGGGCCAGAATGAGACACCATAAATTGGGTACAGCCGTAACTAACTAGCTTACAGCTGGGAACGAAGCAACATGGGACTCAAGCTACATCCACGCTGTGGCACTTATATGTAAAAAAAATCGTTCTTACTGGGGACACTCGTCCACAGGACATCCATTACATAAGATAATGTCCGTACAAAGACACTACCCATGTACCTTGGACACAGTCCGTACCTTGGAAATAGTCCGTACCTTGGACACAGTCCGTACCTTGGACACAGTCCGTACCTTGGACACAGTCCGTACCTTGGACACAGTCCGTACCTTGGACACAGTCCGTACCTTGGACCCTAAAAATATGAAACTCTTGTTTAAAACCAAACAAGGTCTAATAAACAAAATAAACCTACCTCGAAATACTTCCGAGGGCACAATAAATAATAAACAACATGTCCTTTCTTCCATGGAGGACAAAAGAAAAGGGACGCCAACGTGCCAGCAAAACACAAATACAAGTTGGGACATCCGTAACTCTACCCTAAAAATATTCAATAATAATATCGAATCTAAAAGAATAATATTTCATCTTTACCTGCTGCTTTGAAATAGCAGCTGATTCAGATTATACAGCAAGATTTAAATAATCACCATTTCTAAAAACTGGGATACAACAGAGCGTCAAAACAAAGTGAGGTTAAGCACGGAGAGTTGACAGAAGCGATGTTGACAGCGCCTCCTCAGAGCGATAACAGGGTTGGTGACTAGGGAACGTAAAAATTTCGCGTCAAATAAACTATCCGGCCTGAACGAGAGGGAATCCGGTGATGATAGGCCCAGACATCATATATTATATATAAAAAAGACATGTAACGAACTAAAAACGTTACAAAACGCAATTTAAAAAATATACCTCTTGGCCATTTTAGATTTAGACCAGATACTTTAAAGATAACATATTAAGAAAATTTTGATTATTTTGTTCAATTTAGAATTATTCAAATTAAAAAAGAAAATATTTACTTCTTATCAAGTATATATTTTAATAATATATAAATTAATTTAACTAATGGCTTTACTAATATTTTAACTAAATATTGTAATACTATTATATTCAGATAATATTTTTTTATCAAACTGGAACGAGGTCATTTAGATTTTCTATTACAACACTTTTATTACAGATATCTTTGTTTCTATATTCTAGGCTCTATGAATTATTAAGAACGTTACGAGTAGCAAACTCTAACAAAAAAAATGTCCGATTTCATCAAAATCAATCCTTATACCATTTCGTATGACAAGGGTATGACCTATCGATGTTATCAATAAGATATAATTGAAAAAGGTATTAGAAAATGGATTGAGGATTATGTTTAAGTAACTAGCTGATTTAACTAACTTTGTACCGCCTGTAACTAGTAAGTGATGAATAACGTAAGGCAAGGCAAAACCTGTGCAAAGTACTGGCATGCATCTGCATCTGCAGGTTCCATGAGAACATGCCCAACAGCAGCTATGGAAGTTATCCTAGAGCTAACACCTCTGCATATTGTCGTCGGTGGTTCCGCCAATGCGACAATGATTAGAATGGTTATTGACGGAATAGTACTGGGAGACAGTGGTGACGCTAGAACTTTTTTTGGGGGGGAGGACAAGCAATTTTCCCAACTTCCTACTTTTTTTTAGAGGCCATAATACATGTAATAATGTATCGTGATAGAATTAAAAACCCTTGTTTTAAAAAAATTGTTTTATTAATTTAAAATTTAAATTTAACATTATTGAACATTATTACATGCATAAATAATGATTGTTATGACAACTCTAAAATTAAAATAGGATCGTACCATCCTTAATATTTTATTTAATTACTAGCGTGTACCCGTGACTTCGTTCGCGTCGAATTAATCATTTGTAATGGTGATGATAAAGCAAAGCAAGAATTTCCATTAACATACAAACTGGATAAAATTTTCTCACATTTATGCCAGCATGAGAAAAAATAATATGGCGATATTATTATAAAACTTGGTAATATTTGAGGGGTAGTTTCATCTCGTTGGAATTTGACTTTCGAAAAATCCGTTTGCCAAAAATAAGCTTTTTACGTCAAGCAGTTTAAGCAGAATCGTATTTAAGAAATTACCCAACTTTTTGGGACACCCTGTGCTTTTAAAAATTTCAATATATGTAAAAAAACAAATAAATTATGCTTGTCCAAGCGTTTTTCCCGAAAGTTTTAAATAACCAATATTATAATATTTCAGGGGCGTTTCCACCCTCTTGGAATTTGAAATTCGAGCCCCTCCTTATCGAACCTCTATACCAGTCAATCCATTTGCCAAAAAATCAGCTTCAAACGTCAAACGGTTTAAGCAGAATCATGATTACACTCAATGGTCATATTTTATGAAACACCCTGTATAGATATATTATTTATATTATAAAAATCTTAAAATATGTAAAACAACAAAATAAAATATACGCGTTTAAGGTTTTTCCAAAACTCAATGGTTTTCTCACCGATTTTAAATAAAAAATATTTTATTATTTGAGGATAGTTTCACCTCCTTAGAATTCGAGTTTCGAAAAATCCTTCTTATCAACTTCTACACCTTAGAATCAAAATTGAGCTTCTTAAACGAGTGGTTTGAGCAGAATAGTGATTAATCAATGACCAGATTTTTGAAACACCCTGTACACATTTTAAAAAATCTTAAAATGTAATAAATCAATAAAATAAAATATACGTGTTTAAGCGTTTTTTTTTTTTGAAAACTTGACCGTTTTTTAAATAAAAAATATTGTAATAAATTATTTGTATACTTATCGAACCTCTACACCCTAAAATCTGTTTTCCAAAATTGAGCTTCTTCGGTTGAGTGGTTTGAGCAGGATCGTATTAATCAATTATGTCCAGTCACTTAAAGTTTTATACATATAGGATTAGTATAGACTAGTCGCCTGGTCTTCAAAGTGGCCCAAGTTGTTGTACATGTAAATCTAAGTTTGATGGCTTTTCTTCACATTAGTGCAGCGGCAATTTTTTTTATTTTTTGTGTTGGGATTTAGACGTCGCGTTGTCATGACTAATTTCCTAACTCAATTATACATTGGGGGAGAGCATCACCCCCCATAGCTTCACCACTGCTGGGGAGAATTTTCAGGTCAGGGCTTGGGACACCCTCAAA